TGTCATTCATAGAGTACGTACAGCCAGTCAGTCATTGACTTCACGACTAACAGTGTTATCGATAATATTAATTATTAACAAATTGCAACACAACGCGCGCAGATTGATTTTATCAAGATCTTTATTGTGTAATAACTTTATTTGCTGAATTAGTATAGATAAATTAGCAAGATTAATCTAAATATATGCAAATTTCTTTGAAATAAGTTAAATATTAACTAGTACATTTTACAATTGTCTAATTTCGAACGCTAAATCCAACTCTCATTATAATTTGAATTTAAAAAGTATCTAACAATTAAGCTTTCTAAACATTAAACATATTAATTTAATTTTGTCTGTATTATGAGTCATAAGTTATGATTCATAATGATTTTGTATATTGCGAGAGACGAGTGATTAACGGTTTTTAATTATTTTATTTATTTTTTATTTGAATGTATTGTTTCATGTGCAAAGTCTACCACCAGTTTGCATTTATATACAATAGAGTGTAAGCGCGTGACACGGGTTATAAATACAGTAATATAGTATCAATTGAGTTGATGTTTGGTTTATTGGTCAGATAGGTTAGGATAGGTAGGTAAAAGGGATCAGATTATGGTTTGATACCAGTTATGATGTCCTAGTTAATAATTAATTAAATTTACTCGTTAGTAAGCTTATCACTTATCCTTTCACCGCTGAGTACGTACTTTTGAATGAAGTTATAATAAAAATGAATGATTGATTGTATTTAATTTGTTTTATAGTTGTTTCCGAAGTGAATGAATACAAGCGTATATGTGAAGAGTTGCATTCATTAGGTTCGGGAGCTTTTGGGGAAGTATTTGTTGTTAAATGGAAATATGATGGACGAGAATATGCGGTTAAGAAAATAAAATACCAAGGTAATTTAATGGCATTTAGATATATTTTGTATAACTATTGTAGCATTATAATGTATTAATGTACATTGAAAATAATGTATGGTAAAATTTCAATAATTAATAATTATCACGATTAATATATTTATAGGTGATAACAACTTACAGGAATGTATGCAAGAAATGCAAAAATTGATAAAAGTTAGGTCAGAATATTGTGTCCAATATAATAATCAATGGTATGATAACAAAATGTTTTACATTCAAATGGAGTTGTGTTCCCATAGTCTTCAGAAAATTCTTGAACACAAACCACAAGTATTTGGTCGACAACCGGAAGAACCCATGAATTCAATCGAGTTTTACATTTCGTGTCATATATTCAAAGAGATCTTAGAATGCGTTCAATATTTACATGAATTAAATCCTCCGGTCATTCATAGAGACCTTAAACCTGACAATATATTAGTGGCGAAGACTTTAAGGAACCGTAGGTTTTTCAAAATATGTGACTTTGGTTTGGCTACTGTTCACCAGCACTCGTCAGATAAGGGAGACCTGAGATATCAGGCGCCAGAAGTGGGTCAGAAGGGAGTGGTCTATAACCATAAGATAGATGTCTACAGTTTAGCTATAATTGCAGAAAATGATATTTTTGGAGTTCATTTGGAGGACAAACTGTAAGATAATGTAAATTAATATTTAAATTATATAATTGAGTTTTTTGAATATAAATTATTCTGTAGTTTACAAAAGAATTCAGACAATGATGTTATGAACAAATGTGTCATTAAATTAACACAAATATTGAATTCAATGTCATACTATAACTGGAATTTCCCAGACATACCCGGCCCTCACTGGACAGACAGACCCGAGTGTTCACAAGTGTTATCGGAATATAACTTATGGTCTATTCATGAGAATTGTCTCAAAACTGATCCCACGTTTGAATCCACACTAAACGTCATTAAACAAAATGATTACAAGTTTTTTGCGGAATATTTTAAAGCAAAATATGAAATAATTGAAGAAAAGTTAGAGAATATTCACTTAAATTCGTAATAAATGAAACAATTTTGATAATAAAATCATTTTTAAGAATTAAAATATTTAAGTTACTTTTATGAATATAAATAAAAGGTTTATACAATGTTTTGAATTACAGATTATTTCGGAACCTATTGTGTGTTACATTCCTAAGCAAATAGAGTGCAGACATTATATATGTATTTAATTAACTGAAAAACAATTAAATTTTCAAAGTAAACTTATTATTTATACCACATGCATTTAGGACAATTTTAAAATATTATAAATATATTTTTTTAAATTAGTAGTATTTAAACTATTTTTTTAAAACAACTTTAATTTTAATAATTATTTTTTACGGAATATTTTGAAATTAAGTTAATATTGTTTGTGAACTGAATTCAAAATAATAGCAATAATTCTTATTATGATATTCATATCAAAAGTTATATAATTTAAATGAAATATTATTAAAGAATTAAATTAATAAATTAGTTAATTACACACAAGCTAATTTACTAAACAAAAAAATATAATGGATTTAAAAAGAATGCTTATTTTAACAAAAAATTGATTATTTAAAATTTTCTATTTCAAATATATTATAAATATACTCCAGGTTTGGTCGATAGTTTTAAAATTACTAAATACTGGTGTCATGAAAATCTCGTATATTTAATTATAGTAATTAAATTTTGTTTGTAAAACAATCTATATTACTTTAAAAATATTTTTAACTTGTAAAATATTGCAGTTTGTACCGTATATTCATTTAATTAACTTGTGTTTTACTGGCATTTAATATTAATTGTCTTGATATGAATAAACAAAATAAAACACTATATTAAACGTTACCTAGTACAGTAATGTATTAAGAAATTAATCTAAATATGTATATCTAAATTAATAAAAAAATATATATTAATTTTAATATATAAGGTAGTACAAGTGAAAATAAGTTTGGCAAAACTTTAACTTTTTTGTTAAAAGTCGTGTCCAAAATCGGTAAACAGTGTTATATACATCTATTTAATGCAGATCTTATCCAATTAAAATAAAATTATTTTTCTAAATACACTTATTATGGGTTAAGGCTAACAAATGGTTGGATAGGTTGAACTAGTTCACCTCAGTTTCAGGTAGCAAATTGAGTAAAAAACTCTATCCAGGTAAACCCTAGAATAAATGATTAATATATAATTTGCTAAAATGTAATCCTTTTATTGCCATTACTATTGATATAATGAATGATCAATGAGTGAAATATTGACCCGTAATTCATATTTTTTATGAATAATAGCTTTCAAATTGCTAGATGCGATTTTTTAGTCTAATTGACACGTGTGGACATAAAGTGTTAAACAAATTGTTAGCAAATTCTGTGATTAAAAGTATGAAAAGTATTGATAAACTTATGGGAAAAGCACTAAACTATACACTACTAACCCGTTTGATTGTCCACTGATTCTACTGGTTGTATGGGGACAGTAAGGTCTTCTACAGGTTGTGCCGATCCGATGGGAGCCAATGAAGTACCGGAACTCCTGTCAAATACCGGATGCTCTCAATATAACTGATGAACGCCTACACGTCTGGTGGGTGTCCGCCAATTATGCGGCACCTGAATGGGCGGCACCGGTAGTGGCGGCTGTGGAGCCGAATACCGGTCTGCCGGCAAATCCTCATCAATAAACGGAATGTCCTGATCATCCATTTCCTTAGTATTTTGTGATAATTCTAATTCTTATACTTTTCTATACTTCCTATTACTATATTTGTCACAAACTTTATTTTATATATTTTACGAATAATGTGTGAAATTATTTATAAACTGAAAATAATTTTCATTCATATTATTTGACGATCAATTAAAATCTATATTTATTTAAATTATTGAGTAATTTATTTATTTATTATCCATTTAATAAACCTGGTCCAATTAGTAAGCCTTAGCCATCAAACCTAACTATCAATACTTATGATAATCAAGACATTGTCCTATTAATTAAAAATACATAAAAAAGCAATTAAGAATTTAGTTTAATCATTTATTTTTTAAATTCAAAAATAGAAAACTTATAATTAATTTACAATTTTGTAAATACAATCAACAAACTTTATAATTTAATGTACATGGTATACATTAAACAGTTTCTATTCAAATATTTAATCACAATTAAGCAGCACCTGGACAATAGCCCCGGTGCTCATAAATCAACGCACACATTATGCTTTTAATATCTGGATGTAGGGGCTCGGAGTCCACAAACTTGTTCGCTGCCTTCCTATCATAAGTATCCCCTTTACTAAAACCCATAACACTATCTACACATCCCTTACCTTTCCATCTATTCAATCACCTCTTGATTCCTTTCTCCACCCGTTTGCTACCTTTCCCACCGTTAAACTCCAGTTCCAATCGGTTCCCATCCCTACCATCCCTTAAATGAGTGAACACTCTATTCACAGCTAAACAAAACTCTATGTTTTCGGCCACAGAATGACTTACAATACCCGCCACACCATCCCTGGGCTCCAGTACCAGAAATCTGAGGTCAGGTATCTTATGGCCAAAGTCTGAGCCCAACTCTCGGCTCCAAATTGCACGACCTGTGCTCGAGTCAAATACACGCAAACTATAGGCACCGGTATTTT